TTCTAACTATGATAATTATGGTCTTCTCTCTTTATTAGAAAAGATTATGAATGATTTAGAAAATTAATTAAAATTAAAATCTAAATTCCTAACTAGGATTGATGTGGTCTTTCCTCTTTATTAGAAGAGATTATGAGTGGTTTAAAAAGAAGATTCATGATAATCTAAGGTTGGCTATGAAGGCTCCCTTGATAGACGCCCATAATGTAGCTCTGATACCAAATGACGCGGAATCCAGAATTAATTAACGTGATTAAGAACTCTGCATATAATATTAGTATTTAAAATTATAAAAATCTCAACAAATCCTCCATACTTGACCTACATTCAACACATGAATGTCGATCTAGGTAATTGGATAGTTTGAAGTGATCAAAACACCACAGGTATGAACTTCGTTAAATTAATTCAAAAGAAAATTGATAAAATGTCACAAGAATTTATTTTGATAAGTTTAATAAATTCTCATTCAACAAGAAGATTGAAGAAATCTAACTAGTTGAAAACTAAAATTTCATAGTTTTATTATTCTCAAATTTGATCCTTTACAATGAAGACTTGAGAGCCTATTTATAGGGTACACCATGTGAATAAAAAGATAATAAAAATATCTTAATTTAAAATTATAATTACATAGGAAATTAATTAAAATTAGAGTGTAAATTCCTAATTATGATATATATGGTTTTTTCTCTTTATTAGAAGAGATTATGAGTGATTTAGGAAATTATTTAAAATTTTAATTACATAGAAAATTAATTATAATTAAAATATAAATTCCTAACTAAGATTGATATGATCTTTCCTCTTTATTAGAAGAGATTATAAGTAGTTTAGAAAGAAGATTTATGATAATTTAGGACTCGCCATGAAAGCTCCCTTAATAGCCACCCACAATTTCTCTTCTCCTTTTTCTTAGTTGATCATCTCCTAAAAGGAGAAGATTTTCTTTTCCTTTTCCTTGCTCACATCACTTTTCTTTCCCTTTATGTTTGAAAACCATGAAATGTAGAGAAATTCAATTTCCTACTTCTCCCTCATTTCTCCCTCCTAACTTTAACTAGTCTTTCCCCTCACTATTTCCCCTTACTAGTTATCTCTCAAAATTCATCTTTTAATTATTTCTCATTATCCTCCTATTTTTTTTCCTTTTTTAATTTCTTAATTGTAATCACTCTATATTGCACACTTATTATCACATCACTTATTGTTCCAAAACCATACTCATCCATATGTTTCCCTTTAATTCATATTTATCTCATAATTCACATACCATAATTTTTCGTAAATTTTTTGCCAAACTGAGACATCCTTAACCCTCAACGAGTATTCTCGATTCTCGATTCTCGATTTACCCAAACACAATCATCAATTTAAAGTTATTAAAGTTTTAATTTTTTTTTAGATTACATGGGTCACTCTGTTATCCAATTAGTACCATTACGAGATTATGATTCCCACTATCATAAAGGGATGCGCATGTAGTCAAAACACACACAATAGTCACAGTAGTCCGTCATCATGTGACCCATAATATAATACATACCGCAACCACGTCTGGAAAGATTTTTATCCATCCAAGGATAGGGTTCACCACACCGCTGAATTTCATCATACCAACCTTAAATGAGTTATATTTAAATATTCACTTCTTCTAACTTTTTGTTATGTTTTTTTTTTATATTTTAGTTAAGATTGATATTTTTATTTGTAAATCATTTATATTTTAATTTTTCTAACAACTAATTATATTCTCTAAAGATTGTGTACACTTTCTTAGTGATCATGCTTTATATTTCAAACTATTCTAATTCTCACTATTTGTCTCTTTTCCAACCTCATGGAACTAGTCACTAACTCAATCATACACTTTTCTGTTTATAGTAATTTATTTATTTGTCCTTTTGTTTATTAATTACGTTTAAGTTTTATTGGTTTTATTTTAAATTTTTTATTTTATTTAACATATCTTAGAATTCATGTTCAAATGGATGTACAAAAACCAATTTTCTGTGGCATATTTATGAAAATAGTTGGAAAACAGGAGCTGATTCAATTTAAATATGAATGGTTGCTTGTTTTTTCTTATTAGTGTGGGAAAATGAGATGTTTGATGAGGGTTTTTATGGAGAGGGAGGAAGAAGAAGATGGGGATGGTGCAATAATGCATATTATAAATGCGCTCAAAGCTCTGGTGGGTGTAAAAAGTAAAATGAGGGTAATGGTGTTGGATGGTGAAGGTGTGAAGGAGGAATAGAAGTGGAATTATAGTCGTAAAATAAGAGGACCTGTAAAAAAAAAAAGTGAAATAGTGGAGCAATTAATGAGTGTTACAATAAAAAAATCTATAATCATTTGACTGAAGCTTTGAAAAAATTAAGGGAATTTAAACTAGTAAAAGGGAGTGACACTATCAACTAAGTGGAAAGGGATCTAAACAAGGTGGATAAGTGCAGTTTAATAAACTTACATAAGAGCTTTTCCGAGTCACCTCTATGATTGTTCAAAAGTACTCTCGAGTTAATTTCTTGTATTTGATATATTTAATTTAACTTTTATAAATATTTTAAAATATATAATAAGGTTAGAGAGATAATTTAAAGTTAAATAGAAAGAAAAATTGAAAAATATGTATATAAGTTTATAATGACTTATTATTTGAGCCTTACAGGCTTAGGTAGGCCTAAAGTAGTCTAATGGGTTCTATTTTAGCTCAAATTTGGAGCTAAACAAAAAAAAAAAGAAGATGAA